AATTTAGGCCAGGAAAGGAAAAGAATTTGGAGGAAGTGGTCCTGGCGCTCAATGAAGAGCCTTGTCTCGGATTGCGGGGACAAGGATACACAGGGTTGGCTGACACCCCCACCAAAGCACACCAGCACACAAAACAGATGATAGGGGAGTAACAGGCAGCCAGTGGTAAAGGAAAAGTAGAAGATTTTTACACGCCTTTTACCCCCCAGCCCCACAGGGATTGCGAGCCGGGCTTGGAGGCATCCACAAAGATCTGGCTTTTATGCAACAAAGATATGTCATTGGGATGGAGAGCGCAGGCCCACCACGATTCTAGGCATGCATCCCTCGGCCCAATCCATTTCCATATCATCTTTTTTGCCCTTTGATCACACACGTCTCGCTCGTCTATCTCGGTGTCACGCTTTGCTTGTGACCCCAAAACACACACTCTGGGTCACACTGACTGCTGACTGATTGACGAATTGACCCGACCCGCAAAGGTTTATGACGTAAAAGGTGGTGGAGGGGACGAATAAAAACCCCCAAAGGTAAAAGGGTGCAAAGGGTAAAAGCAAAAGAATGGGTCGAGGAAAGCACCGCTCAACTGATTTCCAGTTCCGGGGAATTGGATCCGGGACTGACCCATACCCGTACTCGCGCAGATATTCCACTCCAAACAAACACACACACCTAAACCCCGCCACCTTTGCTCGTACGGCCAGCCCACGAAATATTTTTGCCGGCCCAACAAACAATCTGTTTCTGACTGCCACGTTCAAGCAGGGATCTTGATCTTGGTTCGGACTCTTTTGACTGGCTCCCACCTAAACTACATGCTTTGAATGTGTTACCCTAATACTCACGCACGCTCGGATGTGGAAAGGTGGCGGGCACCTACCTCAGACTTGCCAACAATAGCAAGGTGGTGCACAACACCACGCACGAAAAATAGAGCCAAGGCCAACTTTTCTTCTTTCGCAATGGGTCCGAATCGAAAGTGACCTTTGGGGAGCCTTGCATTTGCCCTAAATCTTGGCACCACCACCTTTTTCAGCATGACCTTTGAATGCGTGGCGGATATTCCTATCTATCCACTGGCCACTTCAGACAATTTGGTTACGCGAGCTGGATTTGGCCGGACGCTCATTGGCACAGAAGTGGGGTGGCCAAATCGTCTGGCCTGGCAGGCAAGAAACTGGGCGCCAGGTGGCGGTCACCCAAGGGGTATATTCGCCGAGCAGAGCGACTGCTGTGGTTCTCACTTAGTGGTACGTCTCTATCCAAAGGACTATGATTTTTCTGACCAATGGCCGATGTGGAATTTTGCCATTGGCGATGGTACAGGGCCTGCGATGTAACGCCTTCCCCCAGCTATATCTATCTACATGATGATGATCTATCTCTTTTGACGTTTTCAAAGTGGGCTAAGGCTAGTTTTGCCAAGTCTGGGGGACCGCCCGCTAGATTTGGTGGCATATATGAAAGGTGAATTTGAGGGAATTCGTTTGTCGTGTGGGATGATAGCAGCCGACCAAACATGGGCCGTGTAGTGCCCAACAGCGGCATTGCAAATCTAGCGTCGCGTCTCTTTTTGGGTATAGGGTTTAAGCGCGATAAACCCTAAATCTCTCGCTCTTTTTGTCTGTGATTGAGATTCTCTTCCGTCCATGGATCAATCAATCAGTCAATCAATCAGCTAGCTCGTCGCGCGGGCATCTTGGACTGTGTCAATTATACAATCTATACACCAAGTGTACTGGGCATTTGCCCATTGTTTTATGCCACTTATCACGCCCCCAGCGGCATGCGTATGGATCTCTTTAGCGTTGGATCCACGCCACCTTGACCTAATCCGGATTCCCCTCTCGCGGCATTTTCAAAGCCTGTCCACGCCAAGAATTTTGGGCGGTGTCCATCGCTTCTAGAAATTCATCCAAAGACTGCCGCACGAAATCTTTGGAAACAAAGATTTAGATTACAAAGGGCATCGTGCTAAACGCTTGCGCTGGGAATCGAACCCCAGATCTGATTCCCTCGTACGTACTCCCATGAGGGGGCCACACAGCTGAATCGCCGGCCGCCGCATTAATGTGACCGGGCCGTACCCTGCCGTACGTTTGCTGCGGGGAACTGGAATTTGTGCCAGCCTGCCAAAATATGTCACGCATTGACTGGCACTGCGCCAGTTTCCCAGTAGTGGCCCAGATCTTAGCCTGCGCGCGCTACCGGCTGCGCCGCCAGGTGTCAGTCAGCTGGATTACCCTGCCGGTAAGCTTTCCTCCCGTTAACTTACCGCGCGATTTGGCTTTTACGGCGCGCGCGACACACGTAACGGGGGCAGCCAGTTAAATGCCGCGTTGACCGTTGGATCGGGGATCCGACGGCCGGGATGTGGTGGAGAATTAGCGTCGTCCGATGGCGGCCATCCGACGGCGGTGCCACGGGGGATTAGGGTTCTACTGTTAAGGATGAGGTTATTTTAGCGAGAGTAATATGGAGGCCAATGTGAAGAAGTGGAGGAGCGAGCGCTAGCGGCGAGAGCGACGATCGCATTCTCTTTGTGATCGATTCGAGCTAGGTAGAGCTGCGGTGCAAGGTACCACTGGGATTTCGATTCCATTGCCAGGGTTCGAGCCTATGTAAGGGGAGATCGATCCATTCGCCGCGCGAGCGCGCAGCGCTCCCTTCCTTGTTCTTGGCAATGTGTGACGAGATGGAGGGCGGCGAGGCCCGGGGCAGCGATATTTCGGCGTGATTCCACCGCGATTTCGCCCGAGAATGGCCGCATTGGTGGTGAGATCCTCGGACCACGACAAGGTTCTCTCGGGGCTGGGGCATCACGGCAGCGCTCACTTCACGGCCGATAAGGTCGTGTCTAGGATCTCTAGGGGAGGCGGCGGCGATGAGCCATCGTCCTCGCTCCTCCAGGGAGCGCGCGGCCGGTCGCGCAAGAGCAAGAATGGGCCAAAGAAGCAGCCGCAGCGGGGATTGGGCGTGGCGCAGCTAGAGAAGCTGCGATTGCAAGAGGAGAGCAAGCAGGAATCGGCGTGCCTGGCGTCGCTGGGCTTGGTGCCGCTGCCATCCGGCTATGGATTCCTGGACCAGGATGTCTATCCTCTCCTCTCCTCGACTCCGCGGCACCACCACCACCACCCCCACCACATTAAGGGGATCTTGGGCTTTGGGAGTGGCTACAGGGGTAGCAGCAGTGGCTCGCCGGATCATCGAAATGGGGGATTCTCGCCGGGAGGCTGTGATCCGTCCGTGGAGCCATCGCCGCTAGAAATTCTGGTGCAGCAGCACGAGGTGGCACGAATGGTGGCCACGTCCAAATCCTCGCCTCTGGTGCCGGCCTTGGTGGCTCCTCCTCCTCGAGCTCCTCCGGATAAGAATGCGGGGGGTCTCATGGCTGCGGCGATGATGCGCGTGGCTGCTTCTTCCAGCTCCTCGCGCAACGAGGATGCGATGGTGGTCAAGCAGCAGCAGCAGCAGCAGCGAAAAGCTGGTGGCGAGCATCACCCCTTGGGTGTGAATTCCGGCCAGCTTTTCGATGCGTCGCTGCCACCGGGGTCACTCCCGATGCCGCGCGATTGCAGGGAATTGTCTATGGTACGTTTCGTGTTTTCTAAGCCTCGCTCTACTCGTGAAGCTTTTAACAAGCATTTGTTTCTCTCTTTTGTTTCCTCGCGCTGGCTGGCTGTCTCAAGGTTGGCATTCCCAAGGAGCTCTCTTCTTTCCAAACAAACTTTCCAGGACACCAAGTGTGGCCTAGCATGCATAATGTAAGTTCGCTCGTTCCTTGTGCTGTGCGTTTGCTCGCGTAAAGTATACAGGGAGATTGACTCGCTTTCTTCCTGGCAGGCTTCTGTGGAGAAGCAGCGTCCATGCGTCGTGATTTCCCTGGATCACGGGGAAATCCACTCCAACTCTTCGCAGAGTGAAACCGCCGACAACATTCTCAAGCCGGGCGCGCACTATACGCCTCGGAGCATCAGGTATTGCGTGCGTGGGTGGCCAGTCTCTTGTCTCTCTTTTCTCGTTGCTTCAACGCTGTGTCGTCGACCGAATCATGGAACTGAGAGTGGCTTTTGTTTGCGTGCAGTAATGCGCTTGGCAAATCATCGCTGCCGTTTCTTAAGGCCGATGCAATCAAGCAGCAGCCGAGTTGCATTGGTGCCGCGCCTGGCTTTGACAATCTCGTCAAGAGCGAGCACCACCCGACCGACAGCAGCACGTCCAGCGTCTCCAGCATGCCATTCCTGCGCAAGCGAGTCGCGGCTGCTTGCTATCTCGACTCCACATCATGCTCGGCGGCGAAAAAGGCTCTGGTGTCATCAGGGGCTGACTTCCTCGCCCTGAGCCTTTCAATCTCGCACAGCGACGTCGAGTCCAGCGGCAGGAGCCTGATTTGCTCTGCCAACACCAACGCTTCTCCCGCCGCTGCCCAGCAGCAGCAGCAAAGATCGTCACTGTCGCTGCAGGTACGATATTATAGATGACATATCCCCTCCTCTCTCCCTCTTTTCTTTTCTGCTCTCTTTGGGTTTTCTTCGTTGTCACTGGTGACTGATGACAGACATGACATTATTTTGGATCCAGGAAACACTGACTGATGTTGAGGATGGCAGCAGCAGCCAGAAATCTCCGAGCTCTTATGGCAACTCCTTCACGGATGTGTCAACGATCGAGGAGGTGGAGCACAGCATCACCGTGTCCCACCGGCAGGATAATCGCCATCATCATCAGCATCATCGTCGCCGTTGCAGCAGCGCCCAAGATGTGGATCTCAACTTGAAGCTGGCCATCTAAAAGTATTCCACTTAACTACCGTAACAGTATTATTATTGATTAATTAAACGTAACACGTGGCAGAGGCATCTTTGTGCCACGTTGAGCATACTCAACCGTTGGATAAGGCTACTCCTATCCTTTAAAAATCAATCGTTGGATGAGGCCCTAATTTCCTATAAAAGTCAGCCGTTGGATGGGATACCCTAAAATAGTTTAAAAATCAACCGTTGGATGCTTATTGTTCTAAACAAGAACATAGCTCTTTTATTTTGTGCCAAACCACATCAATGTGTTAAGTTGGCTTGGACGGCCTTCTCTTGCGCCTTGTGACGATCATCGCCCGGAGGAACAAAGTCTGGCTGGTTGTTCACCGATCGCACCCACGCCCACGATGGATTGTTCACGTCCACTGGATTCTTGGTCACCGCAACCAGCTCCAGAGGGATGTAGCAGTAGTTCCCGTTCACTGGGCCTGCGACGAAGCCCGTGTAGCCAGCCATGGCCCCGTGAATCGCCGAGTGAGCGAGAATGGTGCAGTAGAGAGTGTCGGTCGCGTTGCTTGGGACGGCACGAACCATGTAAGTCGGATCGATGTACTTGACGGCGAAGAGTTTGTCCGGGTGCTTCTCCTTCCACCACTTCTTGAACTCGGTGCTGAGCCAGAGTCCGATGTCCCGGAGCAAGACGTTGCCGGATTCATCCTTGGTCGACTCCTTCAAGTTCTCGTCCAGCAAGTCCTGCCCGGCACCCTCCGCCATGACGATGACGCAGTGCCCGTTGTCCATCAGCCGCTGCTCCATGAATTCGAAGAGTCCACCTTGGCCCTGCGTGAAGAACTTGATCTCCGGAATGAGGCAACAGTCCACGTCCCTGCTGCTCAGCGTTGCATTCACGGCGATGTGGCCGGCGTAGCGTCCCATAACCTTGACAAGCCCGACGCCGTTTGGAGTGCTTTCCGCCTCGACATGAGCTGCACTAATGGCTTCCTGTGCCACCTCCACAGCAGTCTGGAGACCAAATGATCTGCGCACCAGCGCGTAAAGTTACTCACACTTGTCGAAAACGAAAGGAAAAAGAAGAAGAAAAGTTCGTTTTTTTAATCTAGGATACCTGTCAATTATGCCGACATCGTTGTCCACAGTCTTCGGGATACAAGCTATGGAGACTTTGAGCGAGCGCTTATTGATCTCGTTGAAGATTTCCACAGCACCACGAAGAGTTCCATCCCCTCCAATGAGGAAAACAATGTTGTAGCCTCGATCCTGGATCGCGTTCACAATCTTCTGCAAGTCGAAGCCACCCCTGGAAGTTCCCAGCCTGGTTCCTCCCTGCTTGTGCCAGTGATCCACAACCTTGGGTGTCAGCGGGACGTGCTCCGAAGAGAAGAATCCCCGGTAGCCAGCCTGAATCCCCCTAATATCACGTACGTGATACTGATACCACAGACCGTTCACCAGCTCGCGAATGACCGTGTTCATCCCCGGGCACAAGCCACCGCACGTCACGATGGCAACTTTCACTTCCTCGCCTTCGAAGAAGACGCGCTCTCGAGGCCCTGCCCGAGCAAAGTAGCGCTGGTTTTGATCGACCGGCTTGTCAACGTCCATGACGATGTTCTGGGCGATGGCCTCCCTGTCCGTGACGAAAAACCCCGGAACTGGATGGAAGTAACTGTTCTGGTAGAGCGGGTTGGGATAGGATCGCAAGTCCGGGAGGAAGCTCTTGAGGTGTGGCACCTTCTCCAGGAGTATTTTGGGGCCTTGCTTGACATCGGTCCCTCCATTGGCCATTTTGGTGGACTAGAGCTTAAGAAACTGCCAAGGAACAAAGATCACATCAGATAGAGAAACTACGCTACAGACTCTCACAATGGAGCTTACCTCCTGGAGCTCGAGAATGAGAAAAGCAGACCTAGTATGCGATTCGTTGCGGAAAGTGACCATTTTGACGACTAACACTTGTCGACCAGTGGGCCGTCCGATTTGTGTCAGCAGTTAGCGCGTGACGCGTGGCAGATAGTCGCCACGTTGAATAACGAAGAACAGGTATATATGCTACTTGAATCGATTCTCGCAACGTAAAAGCTATACACCAGCCTAGAAGTTACAGTACAATGTACAGCAGCTCCTACAAGTGACCACAAAAGCCTGCGTGATACGGAAATAATTACTTGGTCGGGACTAAATCCACATACTTACTAGTTTTAGTTCTGCTGCAGCAGGATATTTGTAAGCCGTAAGTGGAGTTCTATCAGCTCCTCCTTGGAAAGATGGGCTAGAATCTTCTCAAAACCAAACACCAGAAGCAAGATGAGGAGTGGGCAAGAAAATAACTTCGAATACCTGCGCCAGAAAGCTTTCTACAGTGTAGTTGTGTGAAGTAATGAAGGACTGGAGGTAAATGTACGAGAACACGGCCATAACCATCTGCGGTTCGCAAAGTATGAGCAAAACAACGGTTCACAAAATCTGAGGAAAAGTGACATGCCTGGCAGTCCATGCGGTCTGTCATTCCTCCATGCCCGGGAATGCTGTCTCCAAAGTCCTGTGCAACGGTGGTTAGCGTAAATGCTCACAAGCTGCATGCCAAGCTAAATCGTACCTTTATCTTGAATGCTCTTTTGAAGCCACTGGCAAAAAATCCACCGAAGGGGGCAATGCTCGAGGCAAACAATCCAAACACAAGTGCATGAATTTGCAAAGGCATCACCTCTACGTACTCCCGGCGTGTCTGCCAAAGAGAAATGTGACTCTACAGCAAGGACAAGAATTCCCTTACCACAAAGGTTATCCAGGACGGAAGTTGATATTGAACATCCTTAAACACGGGATCCGGATCGCACTCCAGCCAACTCACTGTCAAATCCTACAAAGATACTTCCACTGTTGGCTTCAAATTAGAAATTGACTAAGGTAGTTTGGGCTACCTTCCGAGGGCAAATCAGCCATTGTGACCTTCCCATGATATCTGCCAGCTACAATTACAACAGTAAAATCTACTGCAAATATTCTCACTCGTGGTCTTACCAAAAAAGCAGATATTATAGTCGTGACAGAAGCACCAATAAAGCCCTCCCAAGTCTTCTTCGGCGACAGCTTTATAAGAGGCGTTCGTCCAAAAAAGAATCCAAACAAGTAGGCAGCAATATCGTTGATCACGATCAGCGAGACCGGGAGAAGAAACCTACGACATTGGACGTGAGAGACAGAGTAAAATAAAGTGAACTGACGCCGCACTGACCATATTATGCCTTCGAAAATATTTGCGACAGTGAAAGACGACTGCGCGAAAACGACGAACAGTATCATATGCGTCCAAGCAAACTCTCCAAACTGTTGCCGATACATCCGCTTCTTAAGGGTGAGGATAAACGAAACGAATCCTACAAGAAACAGTAGAATATCAGCTACACGCTGTCAGAAAACAACAAACCTGTGATATAGATCAGATAGCAGATCATCGTGTGATACTTGATGAGCCCGCTGAAGATCATGAGGAGAATCTTGTCGGATGAGATGGTATTCACAAACTGCTTTTTCAAGAACCTACCGTAGGCATATACCATGGCTGTGAAGAAAAAGTACCTGCACAAGATCAAGGTGTGGAAGCCTGATATGCAAAGAAGAAACAAAAAAAATATACGTACCAATTAAGCCTAATAAAGCCCGGCTGTCCATCTCGTTCCCTGTGAGAAGCTCTCGCGAGCGTGAAAAGCTCTTTGGCCATGAGCACCTGGATGACCACGATCATCAAGGCGATGAAGAGGTGGCCGAGATAGACGATGAGCGCAAAGCCACCGATCATGAGCACCGACGACTGGACTCGAGTCCTCATGCTCCGGTACTTGTTGCGATCGTCCACAAGAAGCTCCCCATTTGTTCTACCGAAATCCGCGCTCTGGCAATCGAGATTTCAATCGCATTCTTGGAAAATCTAGACCTAGAAGGAGTAGAGCTTACTCGCGATTCCTCGTGGCTGCGCTTGCGATGCCGCTGCCTCGCCACGGCAGCTTGCGTCGCGACGCTGGCGGTGGCGACGAGCGCCGCCGCAGCTGGCGATGGCAACGCCATGGCGTCCTCTCCGTCGGGCTGCATGCTTCCAGCCAAGAGCCCTAGCCCTAAACGCAAAGAATTAGAATGCTCGCTTTTCCAGGAGATTCTCGAATATGCAATTAGAATTTTCGCGCCTTTTCTTCCAGGATTCGAAACGGGGACCTTTGAGCATGTTTTAGGGCGGGCAAGAGAAAGAGGAGGAGCTATGTCGCTTGGCGAGGCGGCGCCGGTGGGAGAATGGCCGGGACCGGCACATTCAAGGAGATAATCGAAGGCGATGTCTACAAATTCTACGCCGATGGACATTGGCGGCTCTCCTCGTCCGGGAATATTTCATACGTCTACAATCCCACAGTGGCTGGGAAGCAAGCTTACAAGATCACAGGTGCTGGAATGTAGCTATAGCATCCATTCTAGAGATTGGTAGCAGCATTGCAGCTATAGCATCCATTCTAGCCGATAAGCATTGCATGGTTCGTGCAGGAGATTGTTAACCGATAGAAGCATTGCATGGTTCGGGTACTAGAATGTAGCTATATAGCATTCTTTGCTGCTTACACTCGATCTTTTCTTAGTTTTCTCTGAACATGAGCTGATTTTTTTTTTTTTCCTTCTTCTTCTTGTCACTGTAGCTTGTTCTAAGGATGAGGTGAACCAAGCTTTCCAAAGTGCGAAGGCGGCACAGAAGATATGGGCCAAGACTCCGCTCTACAAGCGAGCCGAAATGCTCCACAAGGTGGCAGAGATCATGAGAAAGAACAAGGGACCGATCGCCGAGTGTCTGGTGAAAGAAGTGGCCAAGCCAGCCAAGGATTCCGTCACCGAGGTCTCATAAAAAAACGTTGATCCTGCAAAGTAAGCAGCATTTCCAGACTCGTTTGATTGGGCTTTTCAGGTTGTTCGCTCCGCAGATTTGCTGTCCTACACTGCGGAAGGAATCAGGATACTCTCCGAGGGAAAGTTTCTCTTCTCGGATTCTTTTCCCGGAAATCCAAGGAACAAGCTGTGCCTTGCTTCGAAGGTTGGTCTTTGTTCTTTCTTTTCTATGAGCTACAGTAGTTTGATTTAACTCCTTTCGCAGGCCCCTCTTGGAGTCATTCTGGCGATTCCTCCATTCAATTATCCCGTGAACTTGACTTGCTCAAAGATCGGTCCCGCTCTCATTGCTGGAAATGCTGTAGTGGTCAAGCCACCGACGCAGGGCTCGGTGTCAACGTTACACATGATGCATTGCTTTCACCTGGCAGGATTTCCAAAGGGGCTACTTTCGTGTGTTCCGATCAAAGCATCAGAGCTTGGCGATTATGTTACCACCCATCCTCTAGTAAACTGCATCAGGTAAGAAATGTTTCTGTAGGCTGGTTTCTCTTATAGAAGTATTTGGTTATTGGTTTCAATGTGCAGTTTTACGGGTGGCTGTGACACTGGGATGTCGATATCAAAGAAGGCTGGAATGGTGCCGCTGCAAATGGAGCTTGGTGGGAAGGATGCTATGATTGTTCTTGAGGATGGCGACATTGAACTGGCAGCGACGAACATTATAAAAGGAGGCTTTTCCTTCAGGTGCATACTTTTGTATTTTGTCCCTCAATTTGGTCTGAAAATGCTCATGCTTGCAGTGGGCAGCGCTGTACGGCAGTTAAAGTCGTGCTGGTGATGGAATCCGTAGCAGACAAGCTGGTTTCCAGCGTGAATGCAAAGGTGGCAAAGCTGAAAGTTGGGCCTCCTGAGAACAACTGTGATATTGTCCCCGTTGTGACTGAAGCGTCGGCAAATTTTATCGAAGGCCTGGTCACGGATGCAAAAGCCAAGAATGCGAAGCTTTGCCAGGCAAGTCGGTCATAACTTCCTTTTGGATGAGTCAGCTTGAAAAGAATTTTCACGACAGGAATGGAAGAGGCAAGGGAACCTGATATGGCCATTGCTGATCGATAACGTAACAACGGACATGAGAATCGCGTGGGAGGAGCCTTTTGGCCCCGTGATACCGGTCATGCGCATCAAGACTCCAGAAGAAGGCGTCAAGCACTGCAACTCTAGCAAATATGGACTCCAAGTAAGCTCATATTCCCGATGGAAACCAAAAGAAGGTTACGTCCTTTCGTTTTCCCGTGGCAGGGCTGTGTTTTCACATCCGATATCAATAAAGCTATGCTCCTGAGCGATGCCATGGAAAGCGGAACGATCCAAATAAATTCCGCTCCGGCTCGTGGTCCCGATCACTTCCCTTTCCAGGTCGAGTTATAATTCGAAAAGCAATGCATTGTGACTATAATTTTCTGGATGTTTCGCAGGGAATCCGTGAGAGCGGCGTGGGATCACAAGGGGTCACGAACAGCATCAACTTGATGACCAAGATCAAGACCACAGTTCTCAATCTTCCGACCGCTTCTTACACGATGGGTACGAACAAACTTCCATTCTCATCCCTTCTCTCATTCCTTCTTTCGCTTGTTCTTGGCAGTGGGAGGCGACGTGTCTTTGCCGATGGAGAAAAAAGGACCAGCGTGTGGTGATTGTATCGTGTGCATGCATAGCTATGGATGAAATTGCCGAAATTGAAAATCGAATATGCTAACGAATATTTCTAAGCATATCCTTTGAACATTCTTGGCATTATTCCTAATCAAAGTTTAGGGTTCTTGAGAGGATCCGGGCTAGGGCGAAGGAGAGCGAGCAAGCAAGAATGTCGAGGCGGTATGACAGTCGCACCACGATCTTCTCGCCCGAGGGGCGGCTTTACCAGGTAGAGTACGCCATGGAGGCGATCAGCAACGCGGGCGCTGCGATTGGGGTTTTGGCTCGCGACGGCGTCGTCCTGGCGGCGGAGAAGCGCGTCACATCGAAGCTCCTCGCCGCGTCGCGATCCACAGAGAAGATGTACAAGATCGATGGGCACGTCGCGGCGGCGGTGGCAGGGATCATGGCCGACGCCAACATCCTCATCAACACCGCC